ACCTTCATTCTTTCTTTCATTTTACTCTCTCCATCTATGGTACAGACAGTGTGAGGTTGGTGGGTGGAGGCAGTCGCTGTGCTGGGAGAATAGAGGTTCTCCATAGAGGACAGTGGGGAACAGTGTGTTCTAATCCCTGGAATGTATTTGGTGGTTCAGTGATATGTAGACAGTTGGACTGTGGGGAGCCACTGAAAACGGATTTTGCTGTACCAGGATCTGGACCGATCTGGATGAGTCATGTTGACTGCAGTGGATCAGAGTCTACACTGAAACACTGTGGATCACTGGTATGGGGGAAACATAGCTGTACTCATCGTATAGATGTGGAACTTATTTGTTCAGGTATGTCTAAATCAGTGTTAATATAAACATTTTCTAATTAGAGAAAAGCTACACAGAAAGCTCAATTCTTATAACAATATAATCAGTCTATAACAACTATTATTGTTATACACTGATTTTTTAGACTTTGAGACACATTTACTTAAAAATTAGGATCTAACTACTCACCGTGTGGCCATCATGAAGAGAGATGCTGTCTCACTTCCTGCTCAAAAATACAAGGGAATGTTTGTCTTCAAAAAAAAAGGAATCAACAATAAATGATGATAATAATATTATAAACTGTCCAGTCCGTGTATATACACAGAACTGTTTAGGTTTTAGGCACTTCACAAAATTAGATTTGAAGTATTATCAAAAGCATCAAAAAAGGTTTACCAAAAGCACATTAGCATAAAGATGATTCTTAAATGGAAGAATCAGCATCACAAACACTCTCTCTACCAGTTAAGATGATCCTAAAACTAAGTTGCCTTTAGGAAACTGGGCCATAGCCAGTAAGTGTTAATTTGCTCAAAAAACAAATAAACTAGCTTTTTCTTGTACTTTTTCTTGTAAATGTTTTTCTTTTTTCACTTATTCCAATGATTTATGATAATTTTATAAGCAAAACCCACTAACTGCCAATAAAATGCTTTTAAACAATGTGTTTATGTGCCAAAGATGTCTGCACAGTACTGTTTGCTAATAGTTTTGAATTACAAACCCAATTCCAAAATCTTTGGGACAGTGGGTAAATTTTGGAAACTGTCTTTTATAGATATTCTCCTGACAGCAGCACAAAGAAGACAGAGATATTTAATATTTAATCTTTTCAATTTTATTGATTTTTGTAACTATACGCTCCTTCCAAATTTAATACCTGCAGCACATTCCAAAAAAGTTGGGACAGTGGCAATGCATAACTGGGATATTTATGGAATGATCAAAAATGCCACTCATGTGTAACGGGTTTTGCAATTTAAATGTTATTATTGCTAGAACCTTATGAAAATGAAATAAGTGACAAGAAAACCTAGGTGCATAGTGGTCTAAAATCACTACTTTAAATGGTTATTTCGGTAACTTCAGACATTTATCCCACACATTCCTAACGTCTGACAAAGAAAGGATGAATACACTTTAAGTAACTGAGTATACAAATACAAGCATCATGACTCGTGAAATTAGATAAAGTTGATAGTCGAGCATGCATATCAATGAGTTTTCCTGGGATCCTTTGTGAGTAACAGTCCTTAGATGGTGGCGTGGTAATCCTCGTTTTCACCCCTTGAGGGTGCTGTGGGTCCATGCTTGAGATCCCTAGGGAATTTAGAAAGTTGGAATTTTGCCGTCCAAAGTCGTACAAATTCCGTTTTGGTATGTCTAGTTTAGTTAAAAAGAGTTCTAACGAATGGTTGTAGTTTGGAGGGGACAAACACCTTAGAAATGTACTTTCTGTTACTTAAGATAAAAAGTTTGTCCACAGGATTTTGGAGAGCCGTGCAGCTGCATTCCAGTGAAGCCGTAAATCGACTGATTTTGGGAGTTGGGGGTGATAAGTGACAGATTTACACCTCCAGCTCCAGACTCGCTGGAGCCAAAAGGCTTTTAGCTTTTGGTTGTTGATGAGTTTAAGTAAACATTCAACTTGAGGTCATGTTTCGGCCAGTGTTCGTTTCAGCCAGTGTTCGCTACACATGTAACTTTATAGGTAAACAAGTGAATAGTAAACAGGTGATGCTATCATAATTGAATATGAAAAGAGCAACCTTGAAAGACTGCATCAGCAAATAGTCCAATGGTTTAAGCTTTTCTCAATGCATGATTGCAAGAAATTTAGGGATTTCACCATCTACAGCCCATAATACTATTAAAAGTTTTAGAGAAATCTCTGTGCATAAAGAGAAAGGCCGAAAACCAACACTGAATGCTCGTGACCTTTGATGTCCTGTGGTCTGATGAGTCATACTTTCAATTTGATTTTGGAAATAATGAACATCATGTTCTCTGGGACAAAGAGGAAAACACCCATCCTGACTGTTACCAATGTAAAGTTCAAAAGCCACCGTCTGTCATGCTATGTGGGTGTGTTAGTGCCAATGGCATGGCCGTTCAGACCTGTCTCCCTTTGAAAACGTGTGATACATAATGAAGCACAATATTCGACAATGAAAACTCCGGACTATTGAGCAGCTGAAGTGTTATATGGGAAAACATTTCACTTTCAAAACTCCAGCAATTGGTCTCTCCAGTTCCCAAATTATTTATATGATTTTTACTTCATATTATCATATTTGTTTGTTTAATTTGTTGTTAATTTGTTGTTAAATGCCATTTCTTCTGGTTGTATATGTTTTTATTTAATATTGCCCAAAGCCATGAATGTTAGCATAAAATATTGTGCTTACAGCAAATGGTAAGACAGTGTTGCTGGACTTAATATGGGCCCTCTTGATGTCTCACAAGAATTAAAAATTCAAGCTCTAAATCGTGCCTAACTGAAACACGCCTGTATTGCACAAACTTACCAAAAATAAATCAGATGTTTGCATTTGCAGAGGTTTGTAAGTGCAATTTCTGTAGTATCTCTTTACCACATGTAATTTAATTCTGCATACGGCCTTTAATTGTGGAGCACATATTGTAACAACTACTGCGTGTGCAAGCATAGAGCTGCAATTTGAACCATGGTGTGGTTGAGTCACTGCCATCACTATGTGATCTACAATAGTAGCCCAGATGACATTATCCTTTACCTGCCTCTTCCCTGTTCTCTTCATGCTCCTGCCACCCCTTACTATATCACCACTCATTCAGACTGCTTACATGTTTGTGCAAATATAACCCTAGTTCTACGTAGTATATCCCATGCACGGATTTCCGCAATGAAATGCTTCGTCAATGTGAATGTGAAATGTACATAGCTGACTGAAAATATGTGAGATTGGCATTACATAGTTGAATAAGGACTGTGTGTATGTAGTGACGTGTTTTTAATGTTTTGTGAAATGTGCTTTATCATGTCATTACTAGTTGCATTAATGTAGGCTTTTGAGGCAGTATATTGACACTGAATTTATACTTTCGGGAAGCACAATTGACCAAAACTAACATTTAAACCCCATTTTTGAACAGCCATGAAAATAAACGTCTGCCTCATTCCTTGTCAAACAGACTGACAACATGAAACCTAAACTTTAAAATGTTATCAAAATATGGATCAAATGGGAATTACAATGTATAACTAGTGCAAAGAACGCTTCTATCTAAAGAAGTTTGCCATTGCATAGCTTGTTGTTTTGTGCATTAAGTTAGTGCCTATTTAGAATCTTGATATCTACTATAATACAAAACATTTTTGTAAACATTTCACTTTTGTATGTGTTGTGCACAGTTTTAATGTGATTACATCCCACGCAGGTCACAGAAAGTCCAGACTTACTGCTGGTCCTCATTCATGCTCTGGGAGAGTGGAGGTGCTTCATGGAGAGACCTGGTCCACAGTATGTGATGCTGGCTTTGACCTGCAGGATGCAGAGGTTGTGTGTCGAGAGCTGGGCTGTGGGCTTCCTGTGGAGGTGCTGGGAGCAGCTGCTTTTGGCAGAGGGGAGGGTCAGGTGTGGTCAGAGGAGCTTCAGTGTAGAGGCAACGAATCTCAGATTTCCTTCTGTCCAACATCATCTTCACTCAAATATAACTGCTCCCATGACAGGGACACTGGACTAATATGTTCTGGTTAAGTATATTATTTCAGCTTTCCAGTATTTGATATTAATCAGGGCTGTACAAGGGTTGTGTGGTCCTCATTCATTCTAGGAGAGTGTAGGTGCTTCACCAGTGTCACAAAAGCTAGGATAAATAAATCATGTGTAAATATAAACAATAGTCACACATATGCCACAGACCCTATTTGTGTACATGTGTGGACATTTTCAAATTTTTGTTGGGTCCAAGGGCTTGTGGAAGTTGTAGTCAGTTATTCATAGTAATTTATTTGTGAGCTGCTTTAACTGCATCAGTGGAGTTTTAATGTTTATGGTAGTTAAAGATCAAGAGGTAATGCAAACAAAACAAAACAAATATATGTTTTTGTAAACCAAAGGCTTCATGATGTGCATGTTTGTCAGACAAAAAATATCTCTGCAATATATCTGGAGCTGGGGCAGCTTTTGCAAGTCCTACTGCCTTTTCTTCAGTTTATATAATATAATTAGTCTGTTTCTTAAGAATACACTGATTAAATAGTAAAACATGAATATTTGAATAACAGTGAGCCTTATCTTTAAATAGTTAACTATTTTGAAATTTGTGACTCCAGCCAAGCATGCATTACTGCTGGTGTAGGATTATTCACAAATAGTGATGGAGAATATATGCTGCTTAAGTGCTAATGTGTACATTTCACAAAGTGAACATTAAAATACAAACTTTTTACAGGATGCTTCTGTTTATTCACAGTTAAAATGACCATTTGATTCAGACTTGTTACTATTTACACTTTATTGAAGCAGTTCATGTACTAGAAACATTTTGAAAGTATTTTCAATACTTGTGACTTTTATAGCACTATACCTACATGCCCAGAATTTTTGGGTGCAGCCCTGTTAATTGTTTATATTTTACCACATTTGACATGATTATCTGCTGTCTTAATAAACTCTTTCTGTGTTCAGGTCACACTCAGGCTCGGCTGGTGAACGGCTCTGACTCCTGTTCTGGTCGAGTGGAGCTCCAGTACGTCAGTGAATGGGGCACAGTGTGTGATGTAAGATGGGATATGAGAGCTGCCAGTGTCCTCTGTGGTCAGCTGAAGTGTGGGAGTGCTGTGGCTGTGTTGGGGTCAGACTGGTTTGGGGAGGGGAGTGGCCGGATCTGGGCTGATGTGTTTGATTGTCAGGGGAACGAAACACACCTGTCAAAATGTCCCATTTCATCATGGAGTCGAACTGCATGCTCTCATAAACAGGATGCAGGAGTCATCTGCAGTGGTGAGTTTGTTCAGCCATGTAAAGAGTGTAAGTGGAAATACAGAGTTTTTTTATGTAGAAAAGTGGGACATTAAAAAGTAAAGAACCTCATGAATATTGTAAAATAAAAAAATATATTTTTTAACCTTTTAGATTCCTCTCTGGCATTTCATGAGGGGCGAGTGCGGTTGTCTGGAGGGATGGAGTGTGAGGGGGAGGTGGAGGTGTACTTCATGCAGGACTGGAGGAGAGTTCTGCTGGACTCCTGGAGTGAGTCTGAGGCCTCTGTGGTCTGCAGACAGCTGGGCTGTGGCTCTGTGATCAGCTTCTCCAGCTCCTCTTCATCCAGTCCTGATCACAGACACATATGTTTGATGGGTTTCAATTGTTCTGGGACTGAAGCTCATCTGGGGAACTGCAGCAGCGCACAAGCAGTCAACTGCAGCTCCAGAGAACAACTCTCAGTCACCTGCTCTGGTCAGTGTTTTGAAATTATTTTGGAACACCTTAATATAAACAGTACAACTTAAGATAAAAATAAACATGTGTATATGTGTAAATCCTGGATTTTCTATTTAAACCTGAAAATAAAAAGAGAAAATGTTTGAATTTCAGAATGCAAGTAAGATGAACCAGAAATATTTAAGATTCTGCACTATTTCTACAGAACATGTAGAAGAACATAAAATATACCTGCCTATAGGCTATTATTTACATTTAAGCAAGGATATTGACCATTTTAAGGCCTTTGTACAAAAAGGTCAGTTTTTTTAGTCTTGTCATTTCTTGGATGCACATATTCAGATGATCAAGTGGATTTTATCTAGTCATCAGAGGCTTTTGCTCAAACTTATGGAGTTCAGCCAGCTCAAATGCATGTGTGTTTTAGCTCACAGCTCCATCAGGCTGGTTGGTTCTGGGGGAGACTGTGCAGGAAGGCTGGAGGTTTTCCACAGCGGCTCATGGGGGACAGTGAGTGATGAATTGTGGGATATTAAGGATGCGCAGGTGGTGTGTAGACAGCTGCAGTGTGGAGTGGCCCTCAGTGCTCTGGTACCAGCCCGGTTTGGAACTGGACCCATATGGCTGAATGAGGTGGAGTGTGAGGGGAACGAGACGTCACTGTGGAACTGCAGATTTCAGCTGTGTGGAGTGGATGAATGTGGACACAAAGATGATGTAGGAGTCATGTGCTCAGGTAACATGAAGACTGACATTCACATAGGCAGTGTACAAACATGTAGCTTATCACTACTGTCATGAGAAAACACGAATCTCTGAAGCAGTACAGGAGAAAAAAAAACAAACAAAAAAAACATGCTGAACATTTGTTAATGAAAATTATAAAACAGATAGTTCCAGTCCTAAAATATAGCCATCAGCCTAAACAACTCCATCGTTAATGTCACAGGCTTGAATTAACGGTATGATTCACTGTAAAACAGTGGTATAAAAGTGTAAAAAATGTCGTGTCAAACCCAGACTGAATCTCAAAAGGCTCTGTATTCATTAAATAGTGTGCTAACTATGAAAGTTTAGAAATTTTAGCCTCTACAGCCAAATAGTGCCCCATTTATCAAGTATGGATGTGGCTGAGTCCCAAATGAGTATTTCTTAGCTATATTTTGCACAACTGGGGCTCAGGAGCCAGTATTTAAATTACTATGTAGTGCACTTTGTAGGGAGCAGGAAGCCATTTGAGATTCAGCCCCAGCACGAGAAGAGGATGCTGCTGGACTGGTGCCATATAAGACTGGTGGTAATCTGGTGACCAGAAAGTACTTATTAAGCATTCTAAAGCTGTCTTATCATATGTTCATTGTTATATGACAAAATCTTCTCAAGATTTTTTCAAATGACCGCAGTATACAGCGATGGGTGAACGTTCTCCTCATTGCATAGAAGTGCATAGTTGCTTGGCAATGATACCGTAGTTGCCAGAATACATGTTTATGTTGATTATTATCAGTAATAAATAATTTTCTGAAAAGTCATGTTATAATATTTTATGTTGGCCGCCATTTTATAAAAGCAAAAAGGCACTTGAGGCTCTGCGTTACTGCGATTTTATCATGGGAAAGGAGTTTTAGGAGAAAAGAACACCCTTCCCCGTTATAAAATCGCAGTAACCCACGACCTCTCGTGGCTTATTGCTTTATAAACAGCCTGCTCACATGGTGTAAAATGACATTAAGGAAATTGATTAATGTGCATTATATAGATTTGTTTTTGAATGGATCAATTAAAATTGTGTTTTCTTGAATTTGAATTTTGAATATGAAATGTATCACTATGTTGATTCTGAAGACTTAACAGAAAGCGTCCTTCTCTCACCAGAGTTTAAAGAGATCAGACTCACTGAGGGCTGTGAGGGGAATCTGGAAGTGTTCTATAATGGAACCTGGGGTAATGTGTGTACAAATGATATGGATGAAGAAACAGTGAGTCTGATCTGTCGGGAGCTGACCTGTGGAAGATCTGGCAGTTTGAGCCAAACCAAAGCAAGAGTGGAATCAGCTCCTAACTGGCTGGATAATCTGAAATGTAGAAAACATGACTCCACTCTGTGGCAGTGTCCATCTTCACCCTGGGGACAGAACAATTGTTATAATCAGGATGAGGTGGCTCACATTACCTGCTCAGGTAGGCAGTTTCTCTCTGTAGTTGAGATTACCATTGGTAGAATTATTTCCATCTGAATGTAAACAAAAATATTACAGCAGAAGTGAAAATAAGAATTGTGAAATAAATCTGGTAGGTAATCTGTATGATTTTGTGGTCTTAAAGTTACATTTGAGAGCAAAACAGTTAATTGGAAATTATGTTTTCTGTATTAACAGGAGAGAAGAAACATTCTTTGCTGCAAAACCATCTGAAATGCTCCTCATTTCCTAACCAGAGTCAATGCTCAAGTAAGGACACTTAACCACAAAGTTCAGAGTTTGAAAAATGAAAGTGTGATGAGAACAAGTGTTCCTGCATTCTAAGACTCAGTGCAGTTACATCCATAAATATTTGAATGCCAACAAAGTTATTGTTGTATATTGAAATTAACATTAATTAAATAAAAAAGTAAAAAATAAACAAAGTGCATTCTCACCTTTAAGTAGAATGTATTTATATCCAAACCCAATGAACAGTGTAAGAATTATACCCTTTTCATATGCAGCTCCCCCCCAAACTATTTTTAGGGACTCAACAGTAATTGGACAGTTGACTGCTCAGCTGTTCCATGGCCAGGTGTGTGTGTCATTTCCTAAAGCAGAGATGATTTCAAGTGTTGCATTTGTGTGTCACAACAATTGGCCAGGTCAAGAACACCCTCTGGGAGGCAGGTGTGCCAGTGTAAGCAATCAAGTGAAGACTTGAATGGAAAGCAAATGCCAAAGGTTTACCACACACTGTCAAAAATAAAGGTACTAAACTGTCACTGGGGCAGTACCCCTCTTGTCAAGGGTACATCTCAGTTTCTTTAGTCAAGGAACATAATTGGACCATAATCCATTGAAAATGTATTTTCTAAGTTGTATTGACTCCACACACCTCATCTTGTCTCCAGGCTTTTTATTGTGTTGTTCTGTACATTAGGTAAAACATTAGGTAGTGAAAAGATAATATGATAAAATATGTACTTTTCATCATTCATTATTTATGGTAAGCAGCTGGACCATTAAACCACTGTTGTACCTTTGAGGAAACATTTACATCGTTTATACCTTGATGAACAAAAAATGTACCTGCACAGAACCTTTATTTCTAACAGTGCAATATATAAGCTACTGGTAAGCCTCGAAAAGGAAGACCAGATTAGAGGTCTCTAAAATAAATAAATAAATAAATAAATAAATAAATAAAGCATCTTATGGGCAGATGGGAAGAGATTAGTATGGAGAAGGGAGAAAACTGCTTATGATCCAAAGCATATTATCTCATCTGTAAAGGCATGTATGACTGCCCTTGGAACTGATTTGTTTGTATTTATTGATCACTGCTCACAGATGCAGCAGGATGCATTCTGGAGGGTATAATCCTATACTTTCTGCTCAGATTCAGCCAAATGCTTCAAAACTTATTGGACAGCGCTTCACAGTGCGAATGAACAGTGACCCCAAGCATACTGCAAAAAGCAACCGAAGACTTTTTTTTTTTAAACAAAGAAGTGTAAAGCTCTAAAGTCGCCAAGTCAGCTAATTGACTTCAATCCAGTCAAGCAAGCATTTCACCTACTGGAGGCAGAACTAAAGATACGACACTCCAAGAACACATAGGACAGCTGCAATTAAGGCCTGGCAGAGTGTCCCACGGAAGAAATTCAGCATCTGGTGATGTCTATGGTTTGAGATTTCAAAGTTGAGAGTTGCTTTTCAATTACTTTTGAGCCTCAAAAAATATGAGCTGTGTGTAAAAATGGTTGTAATTCCTACATAGTACACCCAATTTCAGCTAAATACCCTCAAATTAAAGCTGAAAGTCTGTCAAATTATTATTTAATTAATTTATTTCAGCTCAAACATGCTGTGATAGACAGCTAAAATAATAATAACATTGCTGATGTTCAAATATTTATGGATCTGACTGTCCATTTTTTTCATTTTTCAACCTTGTTTTTCACCTAAACTTTAATTTTGTGATTGTTGACCCCAAATGCCCCCCCCCAAATCTATATGTTGTTGTGAGTTTTGAAAATTCATTTTAATTAATCAGTGTTAATTACTGATATCTTCATATGTGTGATGTAGATCACCTGCCTCTCAGGCTGAGAGGAGGAGAGGGAATCTGCTCTGGGAGGCTGGAGGTGTATCACAATGCCGAGTGGGGCTCCGTCTGTGATAATCAGTGGGACATCAGAGATGCTCAGGTGGTCTGCAGGCAGCTCGGCTGTGGGCCAGCGCTGAGTGCTGATGGGAGTGCTGTCTTTGGTGCTGGTGAAGGGCCTATCTGGCTGAACAGAGTGAAGTGTAGAGGGAATGAGATTCACCTGTGGGACTGTCCTCATTCCCTGAAGAACCACACTGACTGCTCCCACAGTCAGGACGCTGGAGTCACCTGTGCAGGTCAGAGGAGTCTGGTAAATTTCAGTATTATTGATCAAATCAACCTTTTTTCTCCTTAAGTTTATTATGAATAGAAAATAATTTTCAAAGAATGTTAAAAAGCCTGGAAATAGTTAATTAATGAATTAATTAAAATGATTAAAACAGACAAAACATATACTAACTGTTTCTAATTACTATGTAGTTACATTTTAACAATGCATACAACAATAATGTAACTTTTGTCATGTGTTCTTGTTTGATTACATTACCATATCATGACACAAGCATACTACTGTAGCTAGATAAATGTTAGTAAAGCATCCAGTGTAAGTACTCTCATAGTGTAGTTCTCAGAAAAACAGCAGTTCTCCCTATTATGCATGTGCAATTACATAAAAAACAAAAATGTACTGTTACAACTATCAAGACACCCTTGTGTAATTAAATAAGTAAACATTGCATTTTTTACACTTTTTCACATTTACACAAGCTGCAATCTGTAACGGTGAATACAGCATTATTGGTTACATTGTTGTGTATATTGGTAATATGTAAATTCACAGAAATTAGAGACACAAAAAGTTTGTTGGCATAAAAGCCAATGAGTTTTAATCTGTTTTTGAAGAGCGTTGCAGTTTTTAGATGAGTGTTGGTATTTCCACACTGAAGGTGCACAATGAAAGAATGTAAACCAGGGGTGCTCAGTCCTGGTCCTGGAGATCTGCCTGCAGAGTTCACATTCAACATACCTGGGGCATCTAATAGTCAGATGCCCCTGAAAGCCTTCATTACTCGAATCAGATGTGATAAATTAGACTTGGAGCTAAACTCTGCAGGGTGGTAGATCTCTAGGACTAGGATTGGGCACCTCTGGTGTAAACTTTCTGAGTGATGTCCTTAAAAATCTCCTCTGAGGTTATTAAAAGATCCTGTGGAACAACGATGGACTTGAAAGTTGGAGTGAAAATTTTTAAAGCAGTCGAGAAGGAGGCCAAAGAGGAAAAAATATAAAAAAAAACTGCACATTTTTTGATTAGTGGTTCATTTCATACACTTAGAGTATTAGAAGGTTTTGAAAGAGTGGGCAAGAGCTTATTTACATTTACATGTACATCATTTAGCAGACACTCTTATCCAGAGCGACTTACAAAAAGTGCTTTGTCTATCCAGAGAAAGTATCTTCGCTAGTTACCAACAGGTTAGAGAGAAAGCCAGTCCTGAGCTCAGATACTGCTAGAATCAGAAAGTCATTGACACATAGTGAAAAAGGAACAGATTTAGTCACAGAGCAGTGCAATACAATACAATACATAAGTGCTTTACAGTACATTACAATCAATACTTAATTCAGTGCTCATTTAAGTGCTGTATAAACAGATGTGTCTTCAGTCTGTGTTTGAAGACAGCGAGAGACTCTGCTGTACGGACAGCCAGTGGGAGTTCGCTCCACCACCTGGGTGCCAGCACAGAGAACAGTCTTGATGCTTGCCTTCCGCGCGCCTTGAAGGATGGCGGGTCAAGCCGAGCTGTACTCGAAGCTCGAAGGGCTCGTGGTACAATTCGAGATTTGACCATTGCCATCAAGTAGGGAGGGGCAGGTCCATTTTTGGCTTTGTAGGCAAGCATAAGGGTTTTAACTCTGATGCGTGCAGCTACAGGAAGCCAGTGAAGGGAGCGCAGCAGTGGAGTGATGTGGCTGAACTTTGGGAGATTGAAGATGAGTCGTGCTGCTGCATTCTGGATGAGTTGCAGAGGCCTGATGGCCTGCATTGGAAGACCAGCCAAGAGCGAGTTGCAGTAGTCAAGCCTTGAGATGACAAGAGACTGCACTAGCACCTGGGTGGCCTCTTGAGAGAGAAAGGGTTGGATCCTCCGGATGTTAAACAGGAGAAATCTGCATGACTGAGTTAGGTTTGCAATGTGAGTCGAGAACTATAACTGGCCATCCAGAACCACACCAAGACTTCTTGCCTCTACAGATGGGACAATCAGAGAGTTCTCGAATGAGATGGCAAGATCATGATGAGGACCTGTAGTTGCAGGGATGAATAGCAGCTCAGTCTTGCTAGGATTGAGCTTCAGGTGGTGAGCTGCCATCCATGAAGAGATGTCAGACAGACATGATGAGATCCGACTGGAAACCTGTGTGTCAGAGGGTGAGAAAGAAAGCATTAGTTGAGTGTCATCAGCATAACAGTGATAAGAGAAGCCATGAGATGATATTACATTGCCAAGAGAGCTAGTGTAAAGAGAAAAGAGAAGAGGACCTAGCACCGAGCCTTGTGGGACACCAGTGGAGGGCCTGCATGGAGAGGATGTGGACCCTCTCCATGTTACCTGATAAGAGCGATCCTCCAGATAGGAGCTTATATAATAATTAGCTGAAGTGACCATTCTAACAAAGCGTTCTGAGCAACATACAGCTGATGTTGCTTTTGAAAGTACTGGGCAAGATAATATGAAGAAGGATAAATCAATGTGTAATACAAGTTAAGAACTGTAGGTAAGTGTATTTGCCAATATTTTTTGCTATTAAATTAAGGAAATGCAGAGTCAGACCTGGATAATTCTATAGGTATTATGAAAGTGTACCTAGGGGCCTGAGGCACCAGAGGGCTTGAGCCACTGTAAAAGTGAGACCTGATGCGTCAAGTACGTTGTAACTATCTTGTTCCAATACATCGTCGCTTGTATCACTTCTAACGTGTTTATGAGCTGTGTATCTAGTGACTAATTACAAACAGGAAATGTAGCTTTATTTATTACCATGATAGTTTTAATGTTCTTTTATGTTTGCTTGGTTATCTTTGTGTTTCTTAACATGAAAAGCAGAAGTGAGGGCAACATACAGGCTGAGTTCAGCTCAGTCATAGTTTAGCTATGGACAGGCTGGAGATTTCGGGTCTTTTGGGGCTGCAGGCCCATCGTAACGAGAGGACGACCATCCAGAAAATAGCACAGCAGCTACCCTAATCAGCTGGTGCAGCATGTCCTTCTAGGCTGCAAGACAACAGGACCACTGAAACTGCAATCATTTCCAATCTGTAAAAAGCGTCTCTCTGTCCGTGGCATAAAGGGTCTCTGGCCAGAGTGGCTGAAGAGAGATTAACTCTCATACCAGACTAGTTTGCCTATGAGTGCCCATGATGGTGGCCACACCCATTTTTCCCTCCACTTCTACTGCTACAACCCAACCAAACAATCAGATTTAAAGCTCAGAGTTTCTTGTTTCTGGTGTTGCAATCTGGACTAGTGGTACTCTGATGGGTATCACTATATTTATATGCCTCCATGGTACCAACCTCTTATCACATTTTAGTTTTAAAAGAAAAAATATTGACTCTGTTTTGATCAATACTCAAGATTACTGTTTTTAGGATAAATACTTTAAAGCTCTCTCTCTCTCTCTGAGTAATAGAAAGTGAATTTAATTTTTTTTTTTTTCCAGACTTATCTGTATCCACCACTGTTACATCCAGAGTAACTACCATTACCATCACAGGTACTGTTTTTATTCATTTTTCTTTTTCATTTCTTTTACATTTTCTAAGTGTAATATTTCATGGAGTTTCTATTCTGTATTTTCATTTCCAGCTGGTCAAACAGAGAATGAAGCAGTTACTCCTCCACAAACTCCACCAGCTGTTCCATCCATCTATCCAGTGTCTCTCCTGGTTCTGGGAGTGCTGCTCTTCCTAGCTTTAGTTCTTCTGGTTGTGCTGTTTTACCAGAACAGAGTGCTCAGGAGAGGTAGAGAGATTCAGAGATCATCTACAATCCACTTTCTGTACATTCTCTAATCATTAGTCCTTCAATCTGTCATCAGTCTGCTACTGAACTGCTCCATGTTTCTTTCTGTCTCACAGTGCTCTCTAAGAGGAAGCATAAGACTCTGACTGAGGCAATATACGAAGAGATTGATCACAGAATCATCGCTAAGAGAATGACTAAAAGGGGTAACTGATGTAAAGTATTGTAATGGAAGCAATCCTGAGGTCCCCATGATTAGAGATTTTTTCTTTTTTATTTATCCTTAAAAAATGCTGGAGTGTAATCACTGTGGTTGTTAGAATTCCTGGCTAACATTGGCCAGGAATATTTTGAGCTAGTTGCAACAGGCTGGGACAATTTTATATAACAATTGCCAATCATGTATAAGGTTAAGAGCTTCCTAAAGTTCCTAAATAGATAACATAAATAAACACCCTTGTCAGTACAATTAGTTGATAATATGCAATTAAAACTAATTGATCCTGAAAACATTATAGATTTCCTAATGACATTTCCTTCATCAAAAGAAATGTGAATGGAACAATGTACCACAATATATTAGAGGAGAATTTAGTCTCACTGACCAAGAAAGGTGAGAAGGTGAACTTTTCAACAAGACATACAGCCAGAATTAGGCAAGGCTGGTTTCTAAAATCTGAGAGGCTAGGCTGTACTTGCACATGGCTCGCACACTTGCTTTGCTCTCTTTCAAATTTGATGTGGCAAGATTCATACACAGCAGTTAACTTACTTTAACTTACTTTATTTGCTGTTAATTAGTAGTTTTCAGAAGTAAGTGACTGGACACACACACACACACACACACAGAGAGAGAGAGAGAGAGGGGGAGAGAGAGAGAGAGAGAGAGAGAGAGAGAGAGAGAGTGTGTAATGGCATTCATTCATTATGCACCTGTCAAACTGCACAGCAAGTAATAATCCTGTACTTTATTTCTTCTCCTTTAGCCAAGCAGCTAAACTGTTTCACACAACAGCTTTTCAGCTTTTTTCATAAGAAAAAGAGAAACAGAGAAAGTAGAGGGAGTTACAATGTGGCAGAAGTGGGAGAGGGAGAGTGTGTTCATGACTGTGTTTTTGTGTGAAAGATCAGATAGTGAGTGTGTGTTTGTGTGTGTGTGTGTGTGTGTGTGTGTGTGTGTGTGTGTGTGTGTGTGAGTGTGTGTGTGCTTCTGCATCATCCAGACAGATGCAGGAGGGGAAGAGAGGAGATAGATAAGTTTGTGTGATTGTGTGTTTGTGTTTGTGAGCCTGTGTCTCTAATGCTGCCCTCTACTGACTAAACAAATATTACATATTTTCTTACGGTAATTAATGGGAGCTTTTGGGTGCTCTCATTTGACATTGTCTGACATTCTGAATGTATTTCTAACAGGAAGTATCCTCTCTGAAGAACAGCATTCAGGAAATGAGGATGTGGATGAGGAGCTTCTCTCAGGTAAGAGGACCAGAACATGTATGTGTTAAACTCCATTCAACTGAGAAATGTTAGAAATGTAATTGTAAAAATGCTCAAATAATGAAATTAATTATTTAGCCAGAACACAGCTTCATTTCTTCTGTAGATATTGTTGATTTCTTTTCTGTAGCCGATTAAATCCAACACTCTTACATTAGTGTCTTCAATATTGTTAAAAAAATATTGTTTAGGCAGATGACATCTATGCATACATTTTAAAATATTAATTATTATTCTACAAATATTAGTTATTACTCTAGAAATTAGCATCTGCAGGTGCATCAGGCTGATGGAGAGATGTAGAAAATAATCTCCTTTCTCTTCCAGCAAAGGCTGTGAATGAGGAAAAGGCTGCATATTATGATGATGTCTCCACCAGTGGCCTGAAAAGTGGGTGCCTTTATAGAGATCACTTCATTCAAAGACTTTATGAAAAGATTAATGAACTCTTTGTAAAACACATTTTGTATTTGATTTAGATGAGGTGGAACAAGAAGACACTCCAGAGAACTATGATGATATCATTTCTGCTGGACAGACAACGCCTAGAGAAACAAGTGTGTTCCTGTTGTGTAATTTTTGCATTGAGAAATCACTCGTCTGTACTGCAGCAAAGCAGCTTTGGTTTGGATTGTGTGGAATAAAGAAATGTCAGTATAATGACTAATAGAGTAGGATTTACACATAGAGAAAATGATCAAAAAGGATAAATCAAAAAGGATTAATCTCTCTCTGCTCCTACAAAACAGCAATTTGAGACATCTGCTAAGTCACATATACACAATTAGGCATTTAACCCTCTTCTCCATGCATGTCCTAACATATGGTGTTAACAGTGAGTTGCAGTGGAAGCTACTCCTTCTCTTCTCTGTATGGTGGCTTTTGCGCAGTGGTTTGGATCTAGATTACTTCAATTTACCATTATTTACTGTATACAGAACTCAGACACTGTTAGAGTTCATCATCGTGTGACAAAACTGTAAAAGTAAGATAAAAAAATCTTAATGACATTTATACTACCATTTATTTACACATTTTTACAGAGAACAAGGTGGAGATTTATGATGACGCCATTCCTGCTGGAGAGAATCTACACATTACAACAGGTTTGTTTTTTTATAAATGGAAAATTCATGTGAACATATCGTGAACCAGCATCAGTTCAATAATAAAACCATATTTACTGCTCACCGTTATCATCATTTTTCCACATATGTTTGTGCAGTGTACACACCAGAGAACTATGATGATGTCATCACTCCTGGACAGGATTTTGGAGATTCAGTCTCCTTGAGGTGGAAACAGATTAAATGAGTATTTTTTGCTCTTGCACAAGTCCTTGCAGAGTGCTGTTAGTTAAACATGGATTTGCAACACTGTAAAGTTACGTACATGAAAGATTGTATTGCAGTGATAGTGATGATGTACATATGGAGTGATATCATGCCTGTGTTTAAGATATTTGTCACTTATTCAACAACGTTTACTTTCAGGCTATGATGATGTGGTAGAGGTGTCTGAGAAAGAGGGACAGATCATCTGACAAAGACCCAAATAATCCATCTACTCAGGAAATGAAATTTGAGCTTTTTAAACTCAGCAAAGGTTAAACAACACCAGATGTGTTGATGTTCTTTTTAAAGACAAAATTCTAGGTTATTTGTGACTGTGCTTGTTATTTTTTAATGATGAAAATTACAATGTTCTCTTTAACTAATTGTTTTCTAAACCACTTTGCTTTCTTCTTCAAAAAAAGTAAAAATACATTAAAATTATAAAGAAAAAAAATGCTTACATTACATACATTGACTATAATTTAACAGTCTGAGAAACTGAAATTGTTCATTGCCAGTGTTCTTTACATTTTTTTTTTTTTGCTTTATTCATTTGCTTTGTTGTTCTTTGTATCTGCTCACCAGTCAGGCTACAAATTATGGGTTATGCAAATGATTAATCAGTTCAGTCCTGATTGTATTATGTAATAAGTAAATGAACAGATCTCCACATATCACTCCACTCTACAGAGCATGGATGCAGGAAAGTGGTTTCAGGTGCTGAAATTTTAGCAGCATGTATGTGATAAATATTATGTTATGCTAAATAATGTTTTTTTTTCTTCATTTGAGTTATGTGGAGGGAGATGACAAGATACAGCTGTACTTAAACCATAAAACCAGCACCACAATCACAGCTGATGCTCACCCTGCTGTCTCTGCAAATGAGCTGAGCACTGACCATTCAGAATGTTGATTAGAGGAGGAAAGCAGCTTGTGTTACAGCCATAGTCAAACTACATATCAACATCCACTGAGAGAGTGGGAGATAATTACATTAGTTGCAAATCGTTTAAGATTTTAAAACAATATTATTTCACTTTGCTTGCTTATACTTTAGGGGCACAAACTGTGTACTTTTTTTTTCATTTTTAAACATTTACTTTTTTTCTCCTGAAATGTGGAAGCGCTGGAGCTCACTCGGCGCTCCTACTTCCCACAAGTAACGTGACACCTAACATTAGCAAAAACCTGTCACTTTATGAGAGCTGCTGTTTATTAGAATAAGATTTTATACATGTTTATATATGACATTATGTCAGCTGTCATATCAGGCTTAAAGTGTCAAGAAAATTTAAAACTAAACATGTCATTTAATTTGAAGAAAATTATTTTTATTCTAAATTAATACAGAACCTCAGGTTTTCCCACAAGTCGCAATAGTAGATACCAAATTAAACAAATGAGACAAAAATATTAGACTTGGTCATTTATTTATTGAGGAAAATATTACATATCTGTGAGTGGCAAAAGTATGTGAACCTTTGCTTTTAGTATCTGATGTGACTCCCTTGTGCAGCAATAAGTGCAACTAAATGTTTCCAGTAACTGGCGATTACTCCTGCACGTCGGCTCTGTGGAATTTTAGCCCATTCCTCCACACAAAACAGGTGATGTTGGTGGGTTTTGTGCCATGAACTGCTGCTTCAGGTCCTTCCACAACATTTCTAAAGGATTAAGATCAGGACTTTGACTTGACCATGCAGATGACCTGATATTTTCCTTTAGAATTTGCTGGTATAATTCAGAGTTCATTGTTTCATCAATGATGGCATGCTGTCCTGGCTCAGATGCAGCAAAACAGGCCCAAACCATGATACTGTTTCACAGATAGGATAAGGTTTTTATGTTTGAATTCAGTGTTTTCCTTTTTCCAAACATAACTCATTTCCAAACATTCTCATTTAAACCAAAAAGATCTACTTTATTCTCATCTGTCCACAAAATATTGTTCCAATAGCCCTCTGGCTTGTCCTTGTGATCTTTAGCAAACTGAAGATGGGCAGAAATGTTCTTTTTGGAGAGCAGCAGCTTTCTCCTTGCAACCCTGCCATGCACACCATTGTTGTTCAGTGTTCTCCTGATGGTGGACTCATAAACATTAACATTAGGCACTATGAAACAGGCCTTTGGTTGCTTAGACGTTACCCTGGGTTTCTTTGTGTCCTCCCAGACTTTTACACGTCTTGCTCTTGGTGTGATCTTTGTTGGTCAACCACTCCTGGTAAGAATAACCGTGGTCTTGAATTTCCTCCATGTGTGCACAATCTATCTGACTGTAGATTGGAGGAGTCTAAACTCTTTAGAGATGGTTTTGTAACCTTTTCCAGCCAGATGAGCATCAACAACTCTTCTTCTGAGAACAAATCTCCTTTATTCGTGCCATGATACACTTCCACAAACATGTTGTGAAGATCAGACTGTGACAGATTCTTGTTCTTTAAATAAAACAGGGTGGTCACTTGCACCTGATTGCCACCCCAATGACTGAAAACACCTGACTCTAATTTCACCTTCAAATTATATGCTAATCCTAAAGGTTCACATACTTTTGCCACTCACAGATTGAATGATTGGATAATTTTCCTTAATAAATGACAAAGTCTAATATTTTTACTTTATCATTTGTTTAATTTGGTTCTCTTTATCTACTATTAGGACTTGTGAAAATCTGATGATGTTTTAGGTCAAATTTATGCAGAAACAGGAAATTGTACAACCCCGTTTCCAAAAAAGTTGGGACGCTGTGCAAAATGTAAAAAATAACAACATACAATGATGGGACAAAGTTGGGACAGGGCAACAAAAGGCTGGCGAAGTTGTGTAATGCTAAAAGAAAACAACTGGTGGAACATCTTACAACTAATTAGGATAACTGGCAACAAAATTGTGATTGGATGCTGACAATGAAGAGAGGTCATTAAGTAGTGCTACATTGGAACAGGAAAAGTGACAAGGCTCAAAATCTCTGATAGCCTGACCGTGACCTCTGACCAACACTGCTGGGTAGGGAGACAAATCCAGAAAGCATGATAGTAATTGTCCGTTAAAACTGGGCAATGTAGACATACATCACTGTGGCTAAATCCCATACAGTGTAGTTTCTAGGCTGTAATGTAGGTTCTGTGAAGGGTTTTATATTGTATTAACTGGGGTTTGGACTTCAAAGCAAACCAGGCTTTAAGAGAAAGCTAGATTAGAGGGGCAGCATGAGCTCCCAAAAATTACAACAGAAAGCCGATGACCAGAGATGTGGTGATCGAGCTGTTGAGGTGGAACAGCATGAAGACCAGGGCAAAAGCAAAGCTGGCAGAGATGTTAGAGAAGCACCTGGTCATTGTGTGGTGAGAAATAAGAATAGCAAATACACTGGTCTGGTCCAGCACCAGCAACAGTAAAGCTGGGGCTCCATTGGTGCCCACTGGCCTAGCCATGGGGTAGACCTGCTGTCCAGCTCAAAAAGGATGGTGTTACGTGCCGGTGTAGCACATGTTTTTTTCTTGTTTTGTTTTGTTTGTTCTTTTCTTTCTTGTTCTGTTTTTTTGCCTCCTTTATCTACCTTTTACCAGGAGGAGGGCAGGCCTTGGCAAACAAAGGAGGCTGCTTCTCCATGACTTGAAGAGATTCCATTACGCCACGTGGGAG